CGTCCTCCTGTCTAGGTGTGGGCGCCCTGGCAGTATCCCAGCCCAAGTACAACCATGAATTGCACATACACAAATAAACTCATGCCACATCGGCCGTCGCGTGGTGCCAACAGGCGGGTCGCCTTACTTGCTGCATACAGTGAGGCGGGTAAGCGAAAACATGCTACTGCTGACGCCTCCCTTCTTAAAATTTCACGTTTTCCGTCTTTCACCCTCTCCCACCCAAATTTGAATTTGGGACAGTTGCCATGCCACCATGGGAAAGTACAAAGACCAAGACACTGCCTGGTCACCGACAAGGAGACAGGAAGAAGTTAGGCGTGGACTCCAACCATGAGCCTGGCGAAGAGCCGCGCACCAGCTCGAGCATCAGTTATTCCTTCACTTGCTCAGACAACCGTTAACAACCAGAAGCGGACCGCATGCCTGAATGGAGAATGGCGCGAAATGGCGTTAGGGCTGTTCGTCACTGAAGCAGGAAGGCTGTGGATTCTAATCTCCTTGAAGGTTGCTGATGCATTTCGAAGATGAAGAAAAAACAGCTGCACGGTTTTTGGCATAGGATGACCTTGCACCGCAGGACAAGATCCGGATTGTGCTAGTAAACAGCGTCAATCCGTAATCATGGTAAGCTCTGGTCCGCCACCGCTTCGCACCGGGGAAAGTCCGATAATCCCAGTATTCTGAGCCTACCTCCAATGTAGGGGACACTGAATCAGCTCAGGGAGAGTGATTAAATCAAGAAGACTTACTTCAACCCTAAATTAGATCAGTTAAACGAAGTTCCGGATACCTATCCACCACAGTTCGAAGAAGGAGAGCGTCGAATAACCGTACTCGGTAATCGACCACAACCTTGTGATCTAAACGGGCATGACCGGTGATCGACCCCAGGACGTTATGGTTTCAACTCAATGATGGAGTGCACTGTTATAATCCACGGCTTTAAACTTCACAGACGGCTATCTTGTTTATCTTGTTAGCCTGTTTATCTGATGAAAGCCACTTGAAATATCGAAAATTCTCTGTTTATACGGCGACTTTTGATGTGAGAACTCTGAAGCGAATCGACCAGCAAAGTGCTCAGACACGCAGTCTTGACAACTCATGGATAGATGGCTCAGTGGTGAGAGCGCGAATTCACTGACCGGAAGGTCCGTGGTTCGGACCCGACATCTGTCTCTCGACTTTCCCTGTCTAGGCTTGGGCAACCTGGTAGTATCCCAGCCCTCGTGCTTTCTTCGAGTGGCATGGCAGTTAGGCACCGACAGGGTGCTACAACTGGACGATTTTTATTGCTAGACACTTGAAGCGCTGCTTGAAATCCGAATAAAACAGTCGTGTACGGTATCCGAACTTCGTTATTTCAACGCTACCCGCTTTGAACTTTGGGTAGTTGTGAAACCACTACGGCGGGTTACGCTAGTGTTGGCGTAGCACTCAGCTGCCGACATGAAGCTTGCTTACTCGAACAGATGTTCACCTTTGAGTGGTCCGTCTAGTAACTTCCACAAGAACCTCAATAAGCGTTCAGCTGTAGCACCCTTCCGGTGCCTAGCTGCCATGCCACCCGAAGGAAGCACGAGGGCTGGGATACTGCCAGGTTGCCCA